TGTTGGGTAAGTTACTTTAAATTAGTAACTTAGTTACATTACTAGTTACTTCTATCAAAAGTAACTCAGTTACTTCAAGTTACTCGTTACTTTCAGAGTAACTAGTTACTAGGGAAAGTAACTTTGGTTTTACTCAGAATGCTCTTGTTAATGTGTTGCTTCCGTAACTGGATACCCAGCCAGAGTGCCAGTCTTCTAGCTTGCTTACTTGCCACAAGTGCACTGTGCCACCTACCAATAGAAAGGAAAAAATAATGTGCACATTTCCACGAGAGAAATCCCACGCCTGATTCTATCCTAGCCTGCTTTTTACATCTGTTAAGGTTCAAAATTGAGGAAGGAGAGTACAAACCACCATTGGTCCAGAGGATCTTGGTCAAACAATGATTTTTAATGAATACACACGTGTGGGAAGACAACTCTGTACGCAGACAGCAATTAGTCTTCGACTTCCTCAAAGCATACACAGATTTTATACCGTCAGGGCTTGATTTACTGACGCCCCCTTCATACGTCACAGACAGGATATATACATATGTCAAATCAAAACCACAATGACCTTTTAACACAGTTTAAAAAGAACATCGTCTTCCAGCTTCATAACAGGTGCATCCTGTCACTGCCGGATGCTCGCTTGTCATCTTGACACCTCAGCAGCAGTTCTGCGACAAACTGCTCTTTGCAACATCAGCAAAACATGATTAAACTTTTACCTATAAATGATTCTCTCTAACTAAGTGTGTGTCTCGTCCTTAAAGGCTCCTCAAAATAACCTGCACTTAGACTCTGCTTTCGGTTTCAGTTCTGCAAAAGGCACACTCTGCAAACCTGCAACTTCCTGTCAGCCTGCAACTTAGTCTTTCTGAAAGACACACACTGTTTAAACATCTGAATGCAATATAAACTACAGATTATATTATTAATGCAATGGTAATAATGATGATTATTTAACAATAGCAGTAAAATAATTTCCCTGCTCCACACATCCAACACAAAAACTGCAGTCGTGGTGCTTTCGATTGTACTCAGAACTCAGAAATTCTGCCTTCTGAATAGGAAGATGTAGGTAACACCAGACTGCAGATGAGCTGCATACAGAGCTGGACTGGGACAAAAAAATCGTCCCGGGCATTTTGACCACCATTATAGGAAAAATCATAAAGCCTTTGAATGAAAATAAACACTGTTGTGACAGTGATGTACACTGTTCTGATGGTATATATGTATCAATCTATCAATTGTTTGTTGCAAGACTCAGATAATTTTTTTTTTAAAAGTGAGACATTTTAAATGAGAATAAGAAAGTATTTCCTTGTGCCCCCCTTTTAATGCCCTACATGGACCCGGGCAACACTTTGCTAGACCCGCCCCTGCACAGTTACCAGCTGTCAGCTACATAGAAAAGGATCCTGGGGTTATTTGTCTCTCAGAAACAGTTCATAACTTCCCTTCAACTCATTCATGTTAACTAAAAGGTAAACCTGTTTCTCCATCACAGCTCTGATGATTCAGTAAGGACATCTCCTGGTTTCATCTTCATGTTTCCCTCTCACCAGATAACCACACCGATATCATGACCATGCTAGCTAGCACGCAGTACGAAAAAGTCAGCATAATGAAAATAAACTCCAACTAAACTTGGTTCATATCTGACCCAGATGGACTGCAGGTTATAACTTCTTACCTGAAGTTCAGTTCACCTGACACTCGGACCAGCAGCCGCTTCGGGTCTCCCCTCTTGCCTCCCTTTTCCTTCATCCACGTGCTGGCTTCCACCACTTGCTAATGTTATTGAATCTGTGGAAGCTCCACGATAGCCACCACACGAAGTAACGAATAACGAGCCTATCTAAATCCCAGTAACGAGTAACGCGTTCCCGGTTTTGGCATAATAACTAGTTATACCGTGCTCGTTGCCACAATAATAACGTAGTTACTGTAACGCGTTACTTAATAACGCGTTAGTCCCAACACTGGTAGAGACACACCCTAAAGGACTGGCAGCTGTAATTGCAGCAAAAGGTGGTTCTACAAAGTATTGACTCAGGGGACTGAATAATTACGCACACCCCATTTTGCAGTTATTTATTTGTAAAAACTGTTTGGAATCATGTATGATTTTCGTTCCACTTCTCACATGTAAACCACTTTGTATTGATATTTCACGTGGAATTCCAGTAAAATTGATTTGTGTTTGTGGCTGTAATGTGACAAAATGTGGAAAAGTTCAAGGGGGCCGAATACTTTTGCAAGCCACTGTATGTACCCAGATTTTACTGCAAAGGAATTTTTTTTTTGTTTTTTTAGTATATATATCTCTATCTTAGAGTGAACTGAACTGAATTATATTTACATTTTTAGCAGGATTTCTGATTTTATTTTGGATATGTACACATGCGAGATAATCTCGCATGTGTACACATCCAAATATGGGCACTACTATACATGTGACAGGGATCCCAGGACAGACATCTTTGAAAAAATGAAGCCTCCTATATCATCTAGAGTTTGCAGTACAGTTAGGTATCATAACTCTTAAGTTACATGTGTTATTGTTTAATCCCTTGAGCCTGAAGGATTATTCAGACTTGCTTTAATTGTTAACTTGTTTTCCTTCGTGGGCAAGTATGGTGATTTGAGCACGTACTGTCAACTCAGGAACCTCGTTTGAAAGAAACCATTAACTTATTTTGTTAAATGACCATTTATTTTTAGAGTCTTATTGCAATGGAGGTACAGTTTTATAATGGATCACTAGTCATTATAGAGCCTGAATATTAGTTTAGGGATTCAAGAGAGACAGTGCATGTCACACTAGAAGGTTTGAAGCTAAAATACCAACAAACAGTCTGAGAATTTTTTTTTAAGTCGGGACTTGCTGCTGAGAAGAGACATTGTTATTGAATATATAAGACACAGACCATAAATAAAATGCCTGTTAAGTGACAATGACTGAGAGTGAAATTGAACTTTTTGTTTTATATACATATATATGTGTGTGTATAGATAGATAGATAGATAGATAGATAGATAGATAGATAGATAGATAGATATAGCTGGATAGCGTAGTTGTAAGACTACATGCCTTTGGAGCGGAGGGTCTGTATCCAGTAAGGTTCCCAGGGCTAGACCCCCCATGCTAAGCAAGCCTACCGCAGAAATGAGCGAGACAGATAAATATGAAGGCATGCCGGCGCCATCGCCCGGATCAACAAGGTCCGCGTCAGGTGTTGAGGAACCAGAGCACCCTAATGAGAAGTGGACTACTGGAACAGGAAGTCATCGGTGGGCAAGAGATGAAAATAGGGCATTGTTGGAATGCTACTACTCAAGTAACCCTGACAGAAGAGGTTACATGAAAAGGATAAGAGACCTATGGAATCTTCGACACCCAACATCCACAATGACGGCGAAACAACTAGCAGCTCAGTGTTCCAACATTCGAAAGAAGGGACTGCTCTCACAGCTATTGACGAGGTACAACACAAATGCTACGGCAAGGGGGAGCCAGGATGCCAGGTCAGGGGAGAGATATCATCACCCGCGCCTGAGACTGGGTACCAGGCCCCAAGTGCGATAGAAGCAGGATCATTGAGTGCGAGAGGAACTGAAAGATAGGATCATGGCCAAGCTTAAAACTTGGATCACCCGTAGCTGGTTATCAAGACTATGTGAAGTACCCTCAGAAGGTCTGCTAGATGATGTTAATGCAGCACTGCGGACGATACCTACAGTCATCATTACCAACTCTAACAAGCTGATCTACAATACGGCGGCAGTGATCAGTGAGATGCTGGGCTATAAGTTGAACCATGGAGAAGGAGACTAGAGGCTAAGATCAAGGTAGCATGGAGAGAGGTTAGCTAACTATCGGAGCTGCAGAAAGGTGTGTCAAAGAAGGTGCCTAAGAAGTACAGCAAGCTGCCCATACCTGAGGCAGCCTTGGCCAGCCACTTAAAGAGGTACACTAGAGAGATTGAAGGCAGGAGAATAAACCAGCTGTTCTCCACAGAACCAGCCATGGTGTACTCTCAGTGGCAGGGGAACAATATGAAAACAGCACCACCAAGGCTGGAGACGGAGCAATACTGGAAGAGCATAGGGGAGGCCACAGCAACCTCCCTGAACAGGGTCCAGTAACCATCACAGTGGCAGACATCCAAGAAAGGGTCTCCAGTATGAAGAGTTGGCACCAGGCCCCGACATGGTTCACGCCTACTGGCTGAAGAAGCTGACTGCACTCGTGGAGTGCAGTCAGCTTGTTTAATTGCATGTTTAATTCCCTAGAATTAAAAAAAATCCTGTTAGCAAACTGCACTTTAAATTTTGCTCTGCATTAATAAATCAATATTACCATGCAAACAAGTCAAAATGTGACAGATAGCAAGGATCATGTGCTAAACATCAGCAAGTTGCCATATCAGTTTACCAACATGAATGTATAATACTGATTCTATGAAAAGCATCACACGTGTGCAGGGTGCGGATCTTGATAATCATCCCTGAGCTGTGTAGGTCACTAAAAAAACAATATGCTTATTTCCTGTGCTGCAGGTTTTTTGTTTAAATTATATGCTGCTCAAAGGATCCTTTCTAAATGCTGAGAAAAGAATAGACTTTCTAAGCAGGTGATGCACTTACTGCTATATGATCGACTGAGTGTCATATAATGACTACTAGTGGTCTGCACTGCAACATTGTAAATGATAACAAATACAGTTATATAATTAAAGACATATTGTTTATAATTAAATAAATAGCGGCTCACTTTTCCCCACTAATTATATTACCTACTAACTCTGTCTTGTATAAGAAAGAATGATACAGGCTGAAGTTGTGGGATAAGCATTCAACTCTTCTGAAGATGTGGGCTGAAATAAACTTTAAAGGGAGCAAATGAAACGATGTCACAGAACTGCAAGAAGTGCATGTGCTGATAACATCTACTAAAACAGAGCAGGCAGTAGGGAGAGACAGAGCGCGCGAGAGAGAGAGCGAGAGCAAGAGAGAGAGAGGGATACGTTTACACAGCCAGGTCTGAGGAATCAGTACATCTATGTTCAAGGAAGAAGTGTTGGATCTGACAGGTGTTTACGACAAACCACGTGAGGTGAGGCAATAAACATTTCTCTTTTGTGGTTGTTGTTGTGATCTTATCTGAAATGAGACAGTGCTGAGATGAAGGCTCTCGCAAAAAGATAAACTTGATGTTTCTGTAGGACACGTGTGTGTGTGTGTTTATACCAAACGGATGTAGGGATTTGATTTATTTGATTTTTATTCCTATTCAGAGGATATTAGCTGGCATGTAGGCAGCTGGCAGTATATGTATAGGGCAACACAGAGATAAGCTGTGGCCAGGCATGCTTTTGCATGTCACATGTGAGTTTTAAATGTGGATTATCAAGTTAATGGGTTCTATTTTCTGATTTTGCTGACTTCATACTTCAGATTCAGATTTGGGTAAATGACAGTAGGGCTTGCTGATATTGCAGTAAACATGTAGGAGTTGTTCCGAATGAGCCACATGAAATTAAGTCTGTGTCTCTGAAAAGACATGAGCCGTGTCCCTAATGAAATCAGTTTACTCTAAACAAGTTGTAAACAAGTAGTAAAAAAGCAAAAAGCAGAGTTTCAGAAGACAAGGCAAGAACCCAGTGCCACTGGGCAAAAATTATATAACCTCTTCTAGGATTTCACTTTGACAAATTCCCAAATGATTTACCAGACTGCTCTTCGTGGTTTCTTTTTTCAGTTTTTAAATTATTGAACTATAATGGTCCCTCCCCCTACTCGCTACATTCTTCTGCCATTCCAGCCAAGATCTTACTCCCTCTCATTGTTGATTTTTGGTACCTTCGTTAGTTCCATGATCAATTCAGGTTCTCTGACCACTGTGTGCACGATTGCTGCTGAACAGAAACATATTACCATTTCATTATTTTCAGTATTTAGTATTTATTTATTTATTTATTGTCATTGTCAAGAACAATGAAATTGCGTTTGGGGCTTCCATACAACCCAAAAAAAAAGAAGAAAATAATAAATACCCCTTAAAACCCAAGTGTACATATTTAACCCAGTGTGACTCCAATGCAATAAGACAATCCTTAGCAATAATAATGTTCGTAGAAATTCAGACAAAGACCTGAGAAACATGACAAAATACAACAATGCAACCCATTCAATATTATTGTACTGTGAGATATGATATCAGATATGATAGTTATCTATTTAAGAAAGAGGGGGGGGGGGGGGGGGGGGGGGCAGGAGGGGAAGAGAATAAAGATATGATGCACCAATGCAGACCAGTTCATTGCTATTAAGAAGTTGGATATGGTTATTGTCCGTGAGAGGGGGGCAGAGAGTTCAGGAGCCTCACAGCCTGTAGATACAGGCTGTTGGCCAGTCTGGATGTTCATGAGATAGTCTGGAGTGCAGAATTGAAGAAAGAATTTTCATGTGGTAACTGTTAGTAAGCAATGTAGTATGATGAGCTAAAAGAGGCAGCATTACTTGTGGCATGTAGTTTGTAGTCATGCACAGAGTGTTAGCCTGACATCAATCCGCACATCCGTTTGTTATAAACACACGCACGTGTCCTACTGAAACATGGTGACCACAGATTATATCCAACTATTCACATTGCAGGGAACTATTGTAAGTATTACTTGGCAAGCTTATTTTTTTAATCTTTAGGCTTTTCTTCCTTTTATTAACCTCTTGCTAAGTGAAAGTTTGACAAATCAAAAATTGTTTGAAATTTTTATTTATTTATTTTTATTTTATTTGTTTGCAGATAAAATGTTGCATTTCACCGGTTCTCTCTGTGCGTTTGTAAGTCAACAAAAGTGCAAAAAAATGGAGACAAACATCAGTGATTTTTATTTGAATTTCTTTCCTATTAAATCCTCCCTGACTTTTTATGGCCTATACTCAGTAAAGCCTGGTTATTATGGCTGTAAATGACGGTAGCCAGATTACTAAACCTCTGTCTGTGCTGAACAAACATAGTCCCCATGGAAACAACACGTTTTTATCCCCGAGGGAAATCCATCGAGATGATCAAAAACATTAAAAGCTTCGATCCTCTGAATGGCCAAGTACAGGTGAAACAAAGGCTGCTTTAAATTCATTAACTTGAAGCATGAGAAGACAAATGGTAATGTCATGATTTGAAATAATGACCTAGTTATGAGTTGATTATGATACAATTATATTATTATATTATTATAGGTAGTTCTTAACTTCACATACTTTACAGGAAAGAAGAAATAATTACATTGTAAGTCAATTTGATTCGTGATTAAATAATAGCGCCCAAATTTTGGAGGAAAGGAGATACAAATTATACCGTAAGTAATTTTAAGTACTGCATAAATATTTTTAAGTACTGCCTAATTTGTTTGTAATTGTGCGAAGAATAAACCACCTTACATCTTAAGAAAACTGTCATTTTTGATAAACTGCACCTTACCTAACTTTCAGGTATTTACTGTAAAAGGAAAGGAGACACTCATTTCCTGTACACTCTTCTTATGTTATGTTATGCTTGAACAGTATTTGTGGAAGAAAAAAATTTAATTTAGAATTTTGCTCCATCATTATGAGATCTCCAAAGTCTGCAAATGCTGAGACTTATCACATTTACACTGGTAAATTTAAAAGAAAATCAAATCACGGAATATCCATTATGCACATCATCATATGGGGGAACATTTAGGTGAGGGGTGTTGGCATTTTGTGTGCTTTTTTTTTAGAAGGAACACTGTTAGCAGAACAGTATGTGTAGGGATTTTTTTTTAAAAAAAGCATTTTGAAGAGTATTGTTCACAACTGTTGCCTGTGAAGCCAGAAATATGGATCTGACTTTCTTTAATTAATTAATTAAATTACATGAATCTATTTTATTCAATAGGGATTATGCTTTTTAGATAATTTGCAGAAAATTAAAGTGAAATGACAAAAAACAGTCAACTATACATACGTTATAATGATTAAAAAATGTTTAAAAATTGTTAAATTAGAATCTAATTAATTAATTTTTAAAAACTGTGATTTATTTTACACCAAACTTTGATGTTTACTGTGAAAAATTCTATTTGGCTAATTTAATTTGATTTGAGCGATTTGGTTTCATTTAGAAGTGTGTACCTAATGAACCTTTCTGAAAAATGCCGACTGTCAAAATTTTGATCTACAATGTTTTAGAGATGCCATTCACTATAGGCTATAATAGGCTATGGCTGTATCTAGAAATAATAACTTTCTTCCTGAAAATATAATTAAAAAAAATAATTGAAAAACTTAATTAGCTCTACCTACATTTACACCTGATTAGTCTGTGTACCTAGCATGTTCCTGAGACAAAACCTCGTGACTAAATTAATCACATATCCTCTCTTCCAAAAATAGGATCTTTGAACACGGTTGTCAAAAGAACAATAATTATTCTGTTATCATTACTTATCATTCTATTATTGTTGGAACACAGCCATAATTTCCTCCACCCCAATATAAACACCATAACGCGATATCTGTTCTTATTATTTTTGCATGTTTGCTGTCGCAGCATGAATTACATTCTGTTGTGAAACCCCTGAAGAGGATCTGGATCGGTGCCACAAAACAAAATTACCACAACTGTAATCTAAACATGAATGAACAGTTTGTCTTGGTAAACATGTCATAAAGTTGAGGCTCTGGTATCTTACGTTCTGTTTAAACCATGCTCACTAAATATTGCATGTGTCTCTGATGTTTGTCTAAGGCCAAAAAGCAAAAAAAACAAAAACACTAGCGATGAAACAGTCTATGATTGTAGCTATTTTCATGTGTCTAATTTCTATTTTGAATGAATTTAAAAAATGATGCATGGACAACACATGAAGCATGACAACATACATTATACAGATGTGATCAAATTAAATTAACTCTTACAGGAAATTGGTTTATGTTGCTTATTATTAAACTATGAGTTGCATCCATCAGCACTGGCTCAAGGCAGGGCAGCTGTCAAACACGCCAAAGAAAAACAGCGCGAGTCTGTTCATTTAGGGTTTTTATATTTTCATACTGTAAAATTTGATGTAAGTCGGGATTTTTTTGTCTTTTAAAAGTCCTCCCATGCTTAAAGAGCTTTAATGTTTATGTCTTCTTATACCATTAGACTTATACTATTGTCTTTTATGACTGCTTTAATATCTTGTTATGCATTACGCTGATGGTTGTGCATAATATAGTGTAGCTAGTAAAAATTTGCATCTAGGGACAGTTTTTTTATTTCTATTTGTTGTATATTTTACAGCAGATCTGGCAGTTATGGATAGTGTAACATGGGGAAATGTCAGTGTGGGTGTCATTACTTGGGTGCATTTCTGTCTATAGAGGACTCCTCAACTGGATGTATTTGTTTATTTAACAATATAAGGCACAATGCAAGGGTTGTATACATTTCTCTGGTCTAAGTTCTATGAGTCACGGTAAATTCAACATGATTTTGTGAAAGAAAATGCAAAATGTTATTGTGGAATGCTTTAATATGTGTTGAAAAAATATGTAACTTTACTTAGCAGTGTTACAGATTCCCTGGGAGGTCAAATCCAAAGTCAGAGTAGAGATCAATTTTCTCATTTCTGATTTCAACTGAGAACATTTGGTCTTAGAACTGCATTAGTAGCATAAAAAATCAAAAACCAAATCTTTTATGAAGATTTATTTTTTATTGGATAGTGGAGGAATGAAGATGAGACAAGAAAGTAGGAAGAGCACGCAGAGAAAGACATGCAGAAAAGGTCCAGAGCTCATGCTGCATTCAGTGTGTAGCATATGATTGCCTGTCAGTATTGTAGTCCACTGTCTTATATTGAATTATTTATATTTTTATGGAAACCTTATTACTTAAAAAACAAATTGAAGTGACACTATTTTATATCTACATATACACACCTAATGTCAGGATTTGTATGCAGCCCTGTGCATAGTTTGCTTATTTGTCATTTTCTCAGTGACCATCTGTGGTATATTGACCTTTAACAGCGTTGGACTTGGACTTTTTCATTAAATGACAGAGGGATAAACATGTTTCCTTTTTATAGCTTTTTAAGTAACCCCATTGTTTTTGTTTTTCATCAGTGTCATGTTTACTTCAGAGGCTGTGGCAATGTGAAACAAGAGAAGACTATGAAGGGCTTTCCATACAGAGATAAACCTTTAAACCAGACTGCTTCTATGCACATAGATACCATGGAAAAGACAGTCTGAGGGACCTGACAACAGCTGAGAAACTTTGGAGATAAGCAGATGAGGCATTTTCAATATTTACTACTGAGGTACTGGCAGTAGCACTGTTCCAGTGCCAGAGAAGGAGTGCATCATGATCGCCACAGCACTGCGCTGGCTCATCCTGGTGTTTTTCATCATTCTAACCATTGGTGGTAACGTGCTAGTGTGTTTGGCTGTAGGAATGAGCCGTCGACTATGGAGAATTGCTAACTGCTTCGTGGTTTCGCTGGCAGTGACAGATCTCCTCCTTGGCCTACTGGTGCTTCCCTTGTCCGCCACTGTGGAGCTGCGCAGCGGGGAATGGCCGTTTGGAGAAGCCCTGTGCAACATCTACATTTCATTAGACGTCATGCTGTGCACGGCCTCCATCCTGACCCTCCTAGCAATCAGTGTGGACCGATACCTTGCTATTTCAGCACCCCTTAGCCACTCCCGGAGAGTTACACCTCTAAGGGTGACATTGGCTATCATCACCATCTGGGCTATGTCACTAGCTGTGTCCGTTCTGCCTATCCACTTGGGGTGGAACACAGCGGACTACAGGGTTCAAAACTTAGCCTGGGGCATGGGGGATGATGAAAAAGAGGGCTACTACTGTCAGTTTGGATGGAATAACAACTATGTTCTTCTTTATGCCTTTGGCTCATTTTACCTGCCTCTGATGGTTATGTGTGGAATGTATCTTTGCATATTCAGGATGGCACGAGAACAGGTCAGTGTTTATTATGATTTTGTCAAAGGTCATTACTTCAAGGCTTACATTTCTTTTTGAAGATGTCTGGCCAACTGCTATAGAAATACATATATGAATAAAGATATTTTTTTGTTTTTTCAGTGGACATTTAAATGGGATTTATTTAAATTCATATTGTCTTGTAATTGTAAATCCTTGACTATCAAATCAGTGACTTGGTTAAGTCCCAAGATCTCATTATCTTTGTCCCCTGGCTCTCTGTCCTTCTCTTAACCAATCTTTTCAGGCTAGGCGAATTCGTGCTACCCTGCCATCATTTGCACGTACAGCAACTGCAGTAATAGCCCGAGAGCACAAAGCTACAGTGACCCTGGCTGCAGTACTTGGGGCTTTTGTCATCTGTTGGTTCCCTTACTTCACCTACTTCACCTGGATTGGAATGAAGGAAAAGACAAACCCGCCTAATACACTTCACTCCGTAGTCCTGTGGTTGGGTTATTTTAACTCTACCCTTAATCCAATACTTTATCCAGCCTTTAACAGGGATTTCCACAGAGCCTACAGAGAGCTGCTTCACTGCAAAAGACTATATCGGAGAAAACTGCACCTTAACGGTGTATCGGTAAATAAGCGATTGACCTTTACCAATGGAAAAAGACTTTCTCAACAGTGTGAGGGACAGATAGACATACAAGAAAAAGACACAGAGGAGAAGACCCTCACGCTACAAATGGGAAATAGTATTCCTGATGAGCCAAGATGAAATGCTATGGATGTTGTCTCCCCAATAGAATCTAGAGTTCCAGCAAAATATTGCTTACTATTACTCACTCAAAGTAAAAGATTACCCAATGGTTTACACTGTCACTCATTTCTAGATGATAGATAGTGCCAAAGTTTATGCAATCCCAGGCACAGTACAATAAATGTTATATAAAAGTTTTATTAATTATTAATAACACTGTTATTGGAAAATAACATAAATCTTTACATGTTTATTTTAAGTTGCACATTTTTCTTTGGTTATAATAGTGTTGGACTAAGACAGAAGTTTGAACTGCATGTTTTTAACTGCTGTCTTCAGTGTAGCGAAGTTGATCTGAGTCGAATAAATAGATGACTCAGTAAGCTTCCCAGAAAGCTGCATGGAGACATGTGTAGTTAAAAGTTTGCAAATTGTTTATTTTTAAACCCTCCAGCCCTGCTATTCAAAGTAAATAAGTGACCAGCAAGTTCATTTGATATGTGCAATATGTGTATGAACCCAAATAGGACAAACAGAAGGACTTCCTGGACACTTTTACAGATTAACTGCAGTTGAACAAGATATACTTTTTAAAGAAAAATATGAGTTAAGCTATGATAACGACCAGCTCTTTTCTTTTATCTTAATGGGCATGAGCTACATCATTATAGCTATGCTGCCTTTATGTATTATAAATACATCAACAGATGAGATCACTTATCTGCCATTATAGACAGAAGTGAAACTTATGCACAGTGGTGATATAGACTACTGTAAAAATCAAATCTACGTAAATCTAAGCAAAATGTATGATTTCTGCTTACATTTTTAATTTATAATGAAATTAGCACAGCAAGAGATTAATGCATTCAGTGTATTTATGAAGCATTCTCATTTCATGTTATATTTGTTATTTTTATTCCATAAAAGTATTTTTATTCATTACCTCCTAACTCTACCAAATCAAACATTACTCAAAAGTAAACTGTGGCATGAATGTTGTGAATATTTTACAGACAGTGTGCTATATACTGAATAATGCTCTAACATGGTTTTATTTGTGTCTTTGAATGTATGAAGAAGATTGTCAGTGGGAACTTAATTCAACAAAACTCATTAACAAGGCAAGCTGGACCTTACTGCACCAAGCACAGCTCAGAGTGAGTGTTGCATGTACAGCTTCCTGCACGTAGGTGCTGTGGGAGGTTTCATTGGCATTTCAGAAGGACAAATGTTCTTCCTGCAGGAGAAACATAAACAGAGAGTCATGAACATTTAATAAATGGGCTTTCTTTCCTGGACATTACATCTGTTTCTATGCATTATATTAAACTGTTTATTTATTACTGCAACTGCAGAATGTGCAGCTTTCTCTTTGTCTTTTCAAAATCTGAAGTGAGTGAAGTGAGAGATATGCTCTTGTGAATGTTGATTATAATCAATATTTGTTTGCTTTGTGTGTTTAATTGGAAAAAAAATGATAGCTGAAAACATCATTCATCAGAAAATTAATGAACTGATCCTTATTTTTTAAGCTCTGATATGTATCTGTATGTATAATGTATATTGCATTGCTTAAAAAATACATATTATAAGTAAGTACAAATAACTTATGCAAACAACAGGTTCCATTCTTTAACAGGATATACAAATCTAACTTAGTCTGGGTTGTCTATGCTGCAGATTAACTAAACCAGACTGAATATAAAGGTCAGAAAGACAATCAAGATACAAGAGTGCTTTCTGTAGTCATCGGCATACATGATGGGACCAAATTGTAATTTTTCATTGTGATTAAGCTGATGAAAAAGCCGATGCGTCATCATGGCCTTTATGAAAACGCATCGTTGGCTCAGAAGTGCTCTAATCCCAAATTTTTACTTGCCTCACTATTTATTTAAGGCCTGATACATTTGAAACCTTTTATAGTCTCAGATGTGCAGTCCTTTATCTCTGTTTACCTGTGTATCGTCAGTTCCAGCATTACACCTCTAGGGCCGAGGATAAATAAAATTAAATGTCCAAAGAGCAGCACTTTTATCTAACTGTCAATAGCTGGATTATTATAGCTTTGGAGTGTGTCTCTGTGCGAACGGTTATTTGTCCACGTTTATGTAACACCGCACATACATGTCACATCACATACTCGTAACAGCAGGTCTGCTGTTGAGGATTGCCATTTCAGCATCAGTTATCTTTGTAAATAAAATTCTCTTTTACCAGTGTTTAAGATGAACCGCTGGGTTAAGGGCACACAGTAAAAAAATTTAAAAAAAAGAAAAGAAAAGAAAAGAAAAGAAAGAAAAAAATGTGTGTCATGTCAGTTTCACTTTGGCACAAAATATTAAATCTCATTTGTCTGAAACTATGCAAAAACCATCATATGAAACTATGAAATTCTTTAATAAGATTGAGTTGTTGTTAATTGCAGTTATTTTTTTGGTAATGATCTTTCAAAACAAAAGTCTATAACTAAAGTAAACAATTTAATATGCTGTGATTCTGGCTTGAAGTGGAAACTTGAGTTAACTGTTAGTTTTAGTTTTAGATTTCTTCCTGTTGAAAGTGAGTTTTTCTCTACTGCTTGCTCACAGGGGATGATCTTATTGTTGGGAATTTATTCTCTGTAATACTGTAGGGCATTTACCTTACAGAATAAAGCGCCTTGAGGTGACTGCTATTGTGATTTGGAGCTACACAAACTTGAATTTAGCCAAATTCAAAAAAAAACAAAGCAAGATGTAGTTTTTTGAACCCATCATTTACAGAGGTGGAACCATGTGTCAAAAATGACACAACACAAGCTTCTGAATGACCTGATATTACATTACATTGCCAAAGGATCAGTCTCTAATTAATCCACTATAGGATTAGTTGGGCCAAAATAATCCTATATAGTGGATTAATTCTTTTCATAGGAGTATATTTCATAGCTTCACCCTGAGTGGCTGAGCAGGCATGGGAATAGTTTTCAGAGATGATTCACCAAGATCAACTGGTTTTTTTTTTTGTTTGTTTGTTTGTGTTTTCTTCTAGATGCCCATATATCAGTGAAAATGTCAGTGAACAAACCATATATTTCCAGCAGGTGGCAGTGTTAGCCAGCTTTCTCTCTGATGACTTGTTTAACATCTGAAGCGTATTTGCTTTTCAGGCCTTAGTCTTTCTCCATGTGGCACAAAGCAAACATGCAGAAATCAACAATTATGGATTATTAAAATAACAGTAAATCAAGGTACAGTCTGCTGATTGTGGTTATATCTCTGCAATAACTAATATCAACATATTAAAAAGAGCGCTCTGACAGCATAATGCATTGGACGAGGAACAGCAGTCAGAGGCAGAGTTTAGCAGGTCTTTAGGATTCATTAGAGACCACTAGAGTCATTAAGATCAGAACCCTTCTGGAATGTACCCAATGTGCAGCTTTGGGATTAGAAAGAGACAAAGTGAGTTTTTTTTATTATTATGATTATTATTATTTAATTAAGATCCGAATTGACTCTCCTTAGGTCAAAGATAAGAAAAGAGAACTAATAGAAATGATATCAGCTCATACAGTTTTTTGTTTTGTTTTGTTTTTATGTGAGTCTAAAAATTCAAAAGCGTTCTCTAATTTTCACATAGTCTGTGCCCAGTCGCTGCCATTTGTTCATTTATTTGGTATCTATCTGTTTATTGTCTTGGGATTGTGATAAGAGCATTTAAATATCCTCATGCATTATGCAACGGAGTAGGAGGAGAAGGTGGGTGGTGAGGTGAAGAAAAAAATAACTTAAAATAAGATTCCTTTTCTGGTTTCAGTGCCATCATGAAAGTCTGCATACGCTTGCTAATACTGCCTTTGCATGTGATTGGAGGCTGTTGGCTGGTGTTTGTTAAGTCGCACGTCCTAATTGTCCCCAGTAGACCCAAACAGGACAGCAGCTGCCATGGATAATTAAACAAATTTCTTCCGCAGGCTGCACTGGGAGTTGACGGAGGTTTTACAATTGTTTTAGAATTAACACATAAAAGTGAAAGAACTACTCTACGCTATACGCTTCCGATAACAACCGCACTCTGCGTCTGGAGCCTAATCTGGAGCTATTTTGCGTTTGCACTGAAAAGGTTGTAACACGTGTTTGTGCTGTGCCTTCCTCTCTGATGCAGTACAGGCTTTCTTTGTGGAGTCAGCACTTCTGTTCTACCTACATTAGTGTCAGCTGCAGCAGAGGAAGTGCACAGATTTGCAGCTCTGTGGGAGAGCCGGAATAACTGTACAACTTTACAGGTTTTGCTTTTAGGTTTAGAAGTACTGAAAATGGGATAAAGGCATGTTATTAATAAAGTTGTGTTTTCTTACGCTATATCAACATTCTTTTCTTACTGTAGCAGCTTACACAAGATCGTCTTTCTTTATGTTTCTGTCTGGTTTCTGACGGACTTGTGCGTTGACAGAGCAAAAAATAAATAAATAAATAAATTTTTCTATGTATACTCCATTTGCCATCGTGGGTCTGTGTGTATTTTTGTATGCCGGTCTAGCTTTTGGCTCTGCTTCTTATCTCAGCTCCATGGCTTCCCACTGTTCTTGTCACTTCGCATCGTTCCATGCGCAGATGACTGCTAAGCTAAACTCCTGTAGAGATCCAGGAGCTGGTTTGTCTGAGCATGCTCAGTGCGGGGGCTTGGAAGACTTAACATCTGAGTGTGGGAGGCAGCACACTGCTGCTGCAGGGGTCAGCTGTGCGGATGCCTGCACCCAACAGCAGTTGTTTTCATACTGACAGCACTGAACAGATAACCCCGAGGAAATGGCAAAAAATCTGTAGCTTCCCTCGCCAGGATCATCAGAATGAGTGCAGGAAAGAGCACCGGGGGTTCGACTTTCAAGCAATTTGATTCAAAATATGCACTATTTGAAAAAGCCTTCTTTGTGCTTGAGGAATGTGCTTCACTATGGCAACAATATTTTCTGCCAATATGTGACAAAGTATTTCATCAGTTCATTTATTCAGATTCATACATCACCATGGATACTATGACCAAACCAGTTCTTCTCTCTTCAACTTCCTTTGGCTTCTTTTTAGTGATCTTTGTAGAATATTGCTGCCAACATTTTTTTATGACTAATGTCACTTTTGCCTGGTACACAATGATAGATCAAATAATTGGTTTGGGTTATGACGTTGATGAAGGGCTGTACTAATAACTATGCCACAGAGCACACTCTCTAGAAGTGGTGCAGAAATTAGACCAGTGAATTATCCAAGTTCTATGTGTGTTGACATTGCCATGGCTACTAATGGTCTCTGCGGGGCAGACATGATTACAATGAGTATGTGGATGAAGCAGCAGACGAGAATGCCAATGGGTGACTTTCTGGATTCGCAAGGTGCTTTGCAGCTTTGTTGGAAAGCACATCTAATGATAAAGCAACCTGTAAAGAAATCTCATAACAGAAATTCGTGAACTTAACATATCTTTTATTTCTTGCTGGCTTCATAGACTGTATATAAGACATGGAAATAGCCACCATGACATAAGCCACTGTGTTGACTGAACTCTGATGATTAATGAAGATGAGGGCTGTTTCCCTATAGACTCCCATACAATCAGAAGTGTTTCTGCAACCAGCTGAGTTGTCCCTGTCTACCCATTAAAAAGAATGGCAGGTTTAAAGCACTTTTACGCTGACTTCTCTTTTCAGCTTGTAAATTACTGCAATTTTGTTGCTACTGTGTCTGACAGCTAGCTTGAGTGCCATCCATTAAATACTCCATATCCTTTCTGTAATTTTCACAGAAGTGTCCATGAAACAAAGGCTGGAACTTGTGGAGGAGCAGTTGTTGTTTGCACATACAGATAAGGCTGCAGTCTGAATGACTGAAGGGAAAGAAGCAGGTTTCTGAAACAGTTACAATCTCCAGACGGCACAAAACATGGTAGAAAGGAAAGTTGCAAGTCACCCTGTGATTTAACTGATGAGTTGTCTCTTGCTAATCATAAATCTGAAGACACTGAAGAAGAGCTGAAGTGTACCATAAGCAGCTTTTAATAACTCCTTTAGAACTAAAGCAAGAAAAGCGTACACAGAAATAATGGGGAGGATACATCAAATCTTAGATGCTGGATTAGCATTTTCACCACTTCCATCTTGGACCAGCAGTGTGTGAAACTTTTTCTCATTCCTGAAGACTTGTCAACCTCAAGTTGCTAGCCAATGGCCATGGATAATCCTCCATTGTGAAAGATAGTATAACCAAGAATTAATAAATCTGACATTTTTTAATAAATGTGACATTTTTGGGTCACCTTAATCCAGTGGTTCCCAAACTTTTTTTGCTGGGCCCCCCTTTATTTTACATGAAAAATGCCCCCCCCCGCGTGCACACACACACGCACACGCACTTACACATCCTCCAACCACACACACCCATATTCTGCTCCATTGCGGTTTATTTCACACCTCAAACATTTAGTAAACAATTAAGCAAATACAAGTAATCTGCAGGTAGTAATAAAATAAACTACTAACTCTTTTACGCTACGTCCACACCTACAGGGGTATTTTTGAAAACGCAGCTGTTTCGTCACCGAAAACGGAGATTTTTTAAAACTCCTTTTTTGCTTTTATGTGTGGACGAGGAATACAGAGTTCGTCACGCAACGTCAAAGGTGTGTGCCTTTTGTTATTGTTTACATGAGATAGATTGCAGAATGGCAGATAGAGACGAAATACTGTTAATCTGACTGTCTTCAGGTTTTACATGCAGTTACTGTCCCTCCATTTACAAAGGCAGAGGCCTCACAGTGTGATTATTTTACGTGTAGTTGTTTTTTTCCTGTGTAATAATATTCAACATTGCTATCAATACATTTTTTTAAAAAATGCCTCTCTGTGCAAAATGGGTTTAAAAACATAAACAGCTGTGGGATACTGTTTGTCTATGATTTGAACCGAGGGAACAAATCGTGGCAGGATCAGCCTGATGTTATTTGTATCCCACTGTAACTTTACTGTGTAAAGAGCTAACATCTCCAGGAGTAGTTAGTCATTACAACAAGTGTTTGTGAACTAAAAATCAAGAATGTGGGATACTGTTTGTCCATGATTTGAAGAGCCCAGCGGTGCTCCTGACGAAGGGAAAACCAATTCTGCAGGGGAGACCTACCTTTGCACTTGTGCAGGTGAAACCAAAGGGAAGATATGCTTCACCATATTTTCTAGTCTTTGGCTTAGAATGAAGTTGGTTTGGAAACATATTCAGCTATGCTTCATCTCCTGCTTTGCGTTTCTGTGGGCGCCCAGTGCTAGCAGTGTCCAAGCATTTTGTTGTTTTCCTGTTATGTGTGTTCTTGTTATAATAACGCATTATGATACTGCAAAAAGTGCCTTTTCATATTTTCTAATTGAATTTTGATTGCCGATATCCTCCACATATTCTTTTTGGCAATGTGGCCAGCTCTGTGCTTCTATTTTTACCATGCCACTCTTTGAGTAAAGTGCACCTCCCATGGGATCAAAGCAGAATTGTGCGAACAACCACCTCAAGTCACGAAAGCTATGGTCTTACTTAAGCTTCCTTTATTTTATTTATTTATTTATTTTCTTTATTGTACGAATCTATTGATGATGACATTTAGGATGAAGATAGTATCAGACAGAGACTCACAACAATATTCCACTGACCTTGGAAGATAAATAGAATCTGTAAACATTAAATAAAGACGAGACAGGATGGGGGGGGAGAAA